GAGTTCTTGAGTCATCTTTTGAATAATTTCTTGAGATACCTTTTGAATAATTTCTTGAGAAATCTTTTGAATAACTTCTTGAGCTCCTAATTCGTTTGTTTCTTCCAGTCTGTTAATCTTATTTGCTATCCACATTCTGAACTTGATTTCTGACATCCCAGCCATTTGCTTGTGGATGGGGTCTTCAATTGTGTCTTCCCTATTTTCCCTTGGAGGAGTTGATCTACTCTGGTTATTTGAGTTGCCAGAGTTTTTCTGCTGCTTCCGCCCCATGCTGAGTTTACCTTGTTTGGAGGCCTTATCAGAACTGTTCAGTTGATGGCTTCTTCTGGTTGCCCAGAGAAACAGGCAGAGCATGTCTGTTGTCTTCTCCTAGTTCTCGGGTGCTGGGGCAGCCAGGGTGCAGTGGAACAGCAGCAGCTTTTGGTTGTATTTTTGGGGTCGCAGCTCGCCTCAGGAAGGTTGAAGTGCGCTCTTCAATCTTCTATCTTGTTCTGCTCCAAACCATCAGCTAATTTGCTAAGCTTCTGTCCTTTCAGCCTCCTTCTAGATGGGAGCTTCTGTAAAAAACTGGCTGCAGTCCGCCATCTTGGCTCCACCCTGCTTCTTATTTTTGATTGTGGCAAAATACATATAACATAAAACTTAACATCTTCCCATTTTTAAGTGTACAGTTCCGTATTGAGTACATTCACATTGTATTCACCATCCATCTCCAGAACTCTTTGCATCTTTCCAAACTGAACCTTTCGATTCATTAAATAATAATTCACCATTCCTCCCTCATCTTAGCCCCTGGTAACATTACACTCTTTGATTCTATGAATTGAACTATTTTAGATACCTCCTTTATGTGGAATGACACATAAAGGAGGCTTTATGTGCTTTTTTTGTGACTGGCTTATTTCACTTGATAAATGCCCTCTAGGTTTATCCACATTGTAGCATGGGTTAGAATTTTCTTACTTTTTAAGGCTGAGTGACCTTCCATTATGAATATTATACATGCACACATATGTAAGTAATGCTGATATGATTGTGGCTGTACATGCTTGAATGCTGAACCAGCCTTCCATTCCTGGGACAAACCCACCTTGATTATGATATACTATTTAATATATATTTTTGAATTAGATTTGCTAAAATTCTGTTTAGAATTTTTGCATCTACGGGCATGAAAATGTGTAGTTTGTCTTGTCATGTTTTTTTCTGGTTTTGGTATCGTGGGAATGCTGTTCTCAAAAGAACATGGAAATTCCCCATGCTTCAATTTTATAGAATGGGTAGTGAGAAACTGGCATTATTCTTCCTTCCTTGTTTGGTAGAATTCATCAGTGAAGTCATCTAGACCTGATTTTTTATTTGTGGGAAAGTTTGAATTATAAATTCAATTGCAACTTGAAATATATAGGTCATTTATATTTTGATTATTTGTTCTTGGGTAAAGACTGGTAGCTTGTGTCTTTTAAGGAATTTGTACATTTCCCTTAGGTTGTAGAATTTTTTGGCATAAACACATTCATGATACATAGTCTATCATCTTTTTAATATCTGTAGACTTTGTGGTGATACCACCTCTCTCATTCTTGTTATTGGTTAATTATTTTCTTGCTTTTTTTCTATTCATTGTGGCTAGAGCTTTATCAAGTTAATTGACCATCTCAAAGAAATGGCTTTTTGTTTTAATGATCTTCTCTGTTTCTATGTCATTGATTTCTACTCTGAAGTACACCTCCAGAGAAGATAGATCACGTAATGCCATTTCTATTATTCAAAGACAATCATCTGAGAGTACTAGTCACCAAGGTCAATGGTGACTGAGCAAATGTCGAGTAACAGAGCGTCACAGAAGGAGCCATCTTGTGTTCCTGCCAGGCTGGCTGCAGAACCCCTCACTAAGTGCTCCTCAGAGTGTTACCTAACACACATCGATGGGCTTGCTGAGGAAGGCAGTTGGAAAAGCAACATAATACAATTCATTCCAATGCAAAAAAATGATCCTGCCACTTTCTCTGTGCAAGGCATAATTCATGGATTTTGCCATTGCTAATGGGTTCTGTGGAAGGAGAGTGAAAACATGGGGAAGACAATCCCCTGACCTCAAGGATTCCTCAGAAGACTAGGGGAGACCAATACATGCTTTCCTGAAGTAGGTGAGCCTACAGCAGAGGTCTGTCCATGCCTCTGGCTAGAATGTGGAGGTGTGGAGGGCAGAGAGGCATCTCAGCCCAGTGCTCAGACAGCTGAGCAGGTGCAGGTGACTAACCACAAGATGCGTATCTTAGGGAAGCAAATTAAAATAGATGCCGATGGGATTGCAAACTAGTACAGCCTTTTTGGAAAGAAGTATGTGGAATCCTTAAAGAGCTAAAAGTAGACCTCTCATTTGATTCCACAATCCCATTAGTGAGTATTTTACCTAGAAGAAAAAAAATAATTTACCATAAGGACATTTGCATGCTAATGTTTATAGCAGCTCAATTCACCATTGCAAAGATGTTGAAGCAGTCCACATGCCCATCAACACTTGAATGGATCAATTACCTATGGTATATGTATTCTGTGGAGTACTATGCAGCCATAAAAATGATGGATACTTTGCATTTTTTTGTATTTACCTGGCTGGATTTGGAGAATATTCTCCTAAGTAAAGTATCTCAAGAATGAAAAAGTAAGCACCCCAAGTATTCAGTTCTAATCTGAAACTAGTAGATCAACAAATGTGGGCCCACACAGCCCAAGAGAAAAACAATTAAATTCACAAAGTTGGGGAGGGAGAAGAGCTCAGTAAGTTTCTGCCTATTGTACAGTGTAGGGATAAATGGCATGCTTCTTGGGTGAGGGACACAACTACAACTCGGACTTTGGACTTTACCTTACAAACACAAATAATGTAACCTAATTGTATGCACCCTCATACTAACCTGAAATAAAAAATAAAATAGAGGCCAGTTACTTTCCGTCGAGTCCCTGGATTGGGCCAGGGAGGAGGGGTTGTCCATCTTACTTCTGCACTTCAAAGGCCGCCGAGGGCTGGACATGGGTGAAGGCCAGCAGCAATGCTTGTGCAGGGCACCCATGTTCATGATCAACAGTTTCTTGCCAGTTAGGTCAGTGCCTAAAGGCCTCACTGTGTTTTCTTGGAACATGAGATGCCAGTTTCTTTCCAGGTAGAGAGACTTTGCTAATCACAAGATGAGATCCCACATTTTACTTTGGAATACTAAAAATACAAGCTTTATTCAAATTTACTTTTGTTTTTCTCTTTCTGAGTTATCAGGTTTCAAAAGTATTGCTTAATAAGTCAGTTTTTAAACTCACATTGTAGTACTGGGCATAATTTGTCCCTAAGGCAAAGATCACTGCTACTTTTGTCTGAAAATACACAACTGGGAATCTCAGCAAATGCTAATGATTTATTATTATGTTTATGAGTCAGTCATTAGCAGCAGCGTGATTTGTTCTATGAACATGTTCACGCCTTCTTTTGAACAGGTTTTGTGCCTGCCCTTCTTCCTCCTGCTGTGTCACTGGAGCTTAGTGTCTAGGCAGCCCAACTGCTCTGGGCTGTGGTTCTACGATGGCTCCTACAGGGCTGCCCTGCCTGCTCCCCCTGTGTGCGTGTCTGCTGCTCACACCTGGCCTGGCCGAGGCAGGCAAGCTGCTGGTGGTGCCCATGGATGGGAGCCACTGGTTCACCATGCGGTTGGTTGTGGAGAGACTCATCCAGAAAGGACATGAGGTGGTTGTGGTCATGCCAGAGGTGAGCCGGCAACTGGGAGAACTAGAAAATTGTACAACAAAGATTTATAGAACTTCTTATTCCTTGAAGGATTTGGACCGTGAGTTCATGTATTTTGCCAATGATCAATGGGAAAATCGGAGACAAACTTTATATTCTCTTTTATTGACATCAGCCAGAGGTGTTTTTGAGTTATTTTTTTCACATTGTAGGAGTTTGTTTAATGACCAACAATTAGTAGAATACTTAAGAGAAAGCTCTTTTGATGCTGTGTTTCTGGATCCTTTTGATATGTGTGGCTTAATAGTTGCCAAGTACTTTTCACTCCCCTCAGTGGTCTTCAGCAGGGTGGTATTTTGCCATTATCTTGAAGAAGGTGCACAGTGCCCTGCTCCTCTTTCTTATGTTCCCAGAGGTCTCTTAGGGTACTCGGATGCCATGACTTTCAAGGAGAGACTACGGAACACTCTCTTCCACTTGGAGGAACACTTGTTGTGTCCCTATTTTTACAAACCTGCCTTAGAAATTGCTTCTGAAATCCTGCAGACACCTGTCACAGCATCTGATCTCTTCAGCCACACGTCAGTCTGGTTGCTGCGAAATGACTTTGTTTTGGAAACTCCCAGACCCCTGATGCCTAACATGATCTTCATTGGGGGCATCAACTGCCACCAGGGAAAGCCATTGCCTAAGGTGAGTTGTCTCTCCTGTAGCAGAATAGGCATAATCTGGTTTTGGATCAAAAAAAAATATTCCTTACTGGACTATGAATTCTTATTTACGTTCATCAAATTTGGAATTGCTTTCTGGTTTAATGAATTATTTTGTGTTAATGCACTTAACTGTGAAGTAGCAAACTGTGTCATTTGATACACACATATACACACTTAATATAGTTGTACATAATTTCCAAGCTGCACTTTTGAAAATTAATTAATTAATTATAGTTGTACATAGTTTCCAAGTTGCACTTTTTTTTTTTTGAGACAGTGTCTTGCTCTGTCTTCTCTGGTAGAGTGCAGTGGTGTCATCGTAAGTCATAGCAACCTCAGACTCCTGGGTTCAAGCGATCCTCCTGCCTCAGCCTCTCTAGTAGCTGAGACTAAGTGCCTACCACATCTCACTAATTTTTCTAGTTTTTGTAGAGATGGGGTGTTGCTCTTGCTCAGGCTGCTCTCAAACTCCTGAGCTCAAAGGATCCTCCTGTCTTGGCCTCCCAGAGTGCTAGGATTACTGGTGTGAGCTACTGTTCCTACCTGAAGCTACATTAAAAAAAATAGAAATAGGGTATCAATATGTTGCCTAGGCTGGCCTTGAACCTTTCTGGGCTGGATCCATCCGCCCAGCTCTGCTTCCCGAGTACCTGAGATTACAGGCTTATGCCGCAATTCCCAACTACCAAGCTGTACTTTTTTTTTTTTTTTGGAGACAGTCTCATTACGTCACCTCGGTAGAGTGCTTTGGCATAACAGCTCACAGCAACCTCAAACTCTTGGTCTTAAGCGATTCTCTTGCCTCTGCCTCCCGAGCAGCTGGGACTATAGGCATCCACCACAATGCCTGGCTATTTTTGCTTGCAGATGTCATTGTTGTTTAGCTGGCCCGGGCCAGGCTCGAACCTGCCAACTTTGGTGTCATTAGCCAGCTCCCTAGTCACTGAGCTACGGGCACCGAGCCTCTCGTATCTCTTTTATTAAAATATAATCTATTATTAAGTGGGACATGTTGCTCTTTACCTTGCCTTTTTCACCTGCCAATATGCCATAGATATCTTTACCTGTCAATGCATACAGATGTGACTCGTTCTGTTAATTGTTGTGTAACTTTTTGCTTTGGATACACAATAGTTTTTTCAACTAAACAATATTGATAGATATTTAGAAGTTTCCTAAACATTCTTAAATACTTCCTTTATCACTGTAGTCTGGAGTCCTACAAGTGGCATTGCTGGGTAAGATGATATGCAGACATTACCTTTTAACACTTTTGATAAATCACTTTCAACTCATTGAACAATCTCACAGTTTGACCCATGGCATCTGAGAGTTCTGGTTTTCCGTACCTTCTCCAGTTTCTGATGTTGTCACACTTTAAAATATTGTTAATTTTTGGGGCAAAAAACAAATCATGTGTAACTGTTTCAATTTTTACTTCTTATTTTCATAGAAATATAGGCCATTTGGACATCTTCTGTGAATTACATGTTGACACTTTTTAATCATTCTCATAGATCTATTTGTCTTTTTATAACTTGTTGCTATAAGGCTTGTGAGTATTAGGGATATTAACACATGGCTTTTTATGTGTTCCATAAACATTTTTCCCTTAGCTGTTCACCTTTTGTCACCTAGAATTTTCACGTTTGGGTAGTCACATTGGTTAACTTTTTGTTTAATGATTTCTGGATTTTTTTTTTTTTTATGAGTTGGTTCAGGTTCATTGAGGGTACAAAGAATTAGGTTTGCATCTGTTGTGCAAAGTCCCTCTTATAGTTATGTCCCGCCCCCTAAGAGGTGTGCCGTATGCCTTAAACCCGCATCCCCCTCACTCCGCCCCTCCCCACTCCTTCATTCCCTCACTCCCCACCTTGAATTGATTTGAGTTTTTCTTTATATGGTTATTGCCTTCACATTGGAATTGAGTACACTGGATTCTTGCTTCTCCTTTCTTATGATGCCTTACTGAGAAGAATGCATTCTAGCTCCATCCAGGTTAATATAAAAGATGTAAAGTATACAACTTTTTTAATGGCTGAAAAGTATTGCATGGTATACATAGACCACAGCTTGTTAATCCATTTCTGGGTTGGTGGACATTTAGGTTGTTGCCACATTTTGGTGATTGTAAATTGAGCTGTGATAAACAGTCTAGTGCAAATATCCTGTTTTCTGGATTTCAGCCAGTTTAGGTCTTTGCAAACCTGATATCTATCTATATCTATATCTATATAAAAACATCTGCATATGTTTTAATGTTTTCAATTCCTCTAACAGTGATAGTATTTTTTTCCCCATGAGAACTTTACACAAAAATTGATCTATTTCTTTTCTCAATTTCATGTTATCCATTGAATTAAAATGCATCTTTGTCATATTTTAAATTTCTATATCTATTTACATGTGCTTCTGAACTCTCAATTTATTCTATTTATGCATCTTACCATATTTTGATTTTACTAGTATTTTAGTAAGTCTTAGCATCTGGCGTGGTAAGCCCTATACTCATTTTTTCCCCCCTAAATGTTCTTGAGGTGATCCTCATTATTTTCTTTCAGAAAATTTAAAATTGTTTTGTCTAACAATTTCAAAAACTATAAACAAACCTTTAGGACTCTGTCAATATTATATTAAATATGTTTATGAATTTGAAAATGATTGGCAACTCTTGCTATTAAGTTTTCCTATGCAGAAATATATATTCCTTTTTATTTATTCAGATCTTGTTTTATTTCTATCTATGAATTTTGGCACTTTATATAAGCATTTTATCTCTTACTAGAATTTATTCTTAAGCATTCATTATTTATAAGACTATTGTTTATAGGGCAGTTTTCCCATGTTTTTTTTTGTTGTTGAATGCAAATGGCTTTAATTATTTTCTCCATTCAAGAAACAAAACTGACTTTTTATTCAAATAGACACAATTTTAAATTACTTTGAGATTAAGAGTTGATGTGAAGAGTAGATGTTATGTTTAGCACTTGCATTGTTCTTTTTAACTATTTATTTTCTTTAATTAAATCATAACTATGTACACTAATGCATTTGTGGGGTACAATGCATTGACAACTAAAATGTAGTTTTGACTCTTTTTATTTTATTTGGGATGGACTATGCACTTTTAGCTATCGTTCTGGCGTCCTCCAAGGTTCAGTAGACTTTGTAACAGAGTCATATTCCCTCATGCATTCGCAAATGTTTGGTGAGTGATTTTTATCCAACTGGTGGGAAAGTGAGATGATGCTTATTCTATTATAAAAAGCAGGATGACTACAGTTTTAGGCCTTTTGAAATTAGGCATGACTTTCTTGCCAAGAGCAGGGAAGAAGATGCAAGTTATTGTAGAATAAGAGGCTGAGGTTGTCTAAGGGCTCCTCCTCCCACCCCCTCCATCAACTATAGCACCAAGCACCGCCCAGGGTTTGCCGGCACCCTGCCCTTTATTTTAAAAATTTTTTTAGAGACAGAGTCTCACTTTATCATCCTCGGTAGAGTGCTGTAACATCACAGCTCACAGCAACCTCCAATTTCTCGGTTTAGGTGATTCTCTTGCCTCAGCCTCCTGAGTAGCTGGGACTACAAGTGCCCACCACAACGCCTGGCTATTTTTTATTGCAGTTTGGCCAGGGCTGGGTTTGAACCCGCCAACATCGGTATATGGGGCTGGCACCCTACCCACTGAGCCACAGGTGCTGCCCTGCACCCTGCTTGTTAGCCAAGGGTAGGGCCCTACAACTTCTTGGGTTACCCTGGGAGGTTTAGAGATACAAAAACTATACATAGCATTATAATTTTATATTACCTATCATATAGAGATGCCCTAACCTCTCTCAGGTTCTGCTTCGAATTTATATTCAAATTTAGATGCTAACTAACTAAGCCCATGTCCTCCCATCAAAATTATTTATTTCTATTCTTTTGTCATCAAAATTTTCAAAGTTATATGAAGGAGAGACTATAATGCTATGAACTCCCATAGATCCACTCTTAAGTTAAATAGTCTTTATTATTTTGCTGTACTGATTCATTTACCCCCTATTTTCTTTCTCTTCTAAGAAAATTTCTGGCTGTCATGTTTTAAAGGAAATTCTTGACATGTCATTCCATGCCTAACTCTTTTACTAAATATTGAAAATAAGGACAGTTTCTTATATAGCTATGTGGTAGTATCATTATCATACCTAACACAATCAGTAATTCTTCAATATTATCTCATTGCCAATGCATACTTAAATTTCTCCCAATAGACTTGAAAAATGTTTTCTGTATTCAGATCAATGAACTAGAATTGAGAACCCAGAAATACACCAATACATCTTTGGGCAATTGAATTTTTCACTAGGCTACCAAGACCATTTAAATGGGAAAGAATAAACTTGTCCATACTGGGCGCTGGGACAACTGCATATTCACATGCAGAAGAATGAAGTTGGACTCTTACCTTAACCAAGCACAAAAGTTAATGTTAACTGGAAAGGGACCAAAGATCTAAACAGAAAATTAAAAACTGTCAAACTCTTAGAAGAACATATTGGGGTCGATCTTCATGACCTTGGACATGGCAGTGGTTTCTTGGATGTGACACCAAAATCATAAGAAAGAAAAGGACGAATATAGATAAATTGGACTTCTTCAAAATGAAAATGTTTGTGCATCAAAGAAACTTTGAAGAGGGAATAAACAACTCACATGGGCTCACTAAGATATACAAATGAACACACGCGTGCTTGACATGGAGGCTCCTGGGAGGCATCATAATCCCAAAATACACAATCCTGAATGCCACAGTTCTGAATGTTAAGATCCTTAAAGATCAAAATCACAAACAATAGAATTCTGAAAATATAAAAAATTTTTAAAGGGAATCGAGAAGCCTAAAAGCACAAAGACCATGTGAACACTGCATAGACCATGTTATACAATAAAATTGGCAATAATAGCATACATATTTTGCAAACATAAACATTCAACTACACTTCACAGTCACACAGTTTTAAGAATTATGACTAAATGAGCTGTATTCATAAAGAAATAGGTCAAAAAGGTGGTTGGGGTTTGTGTGTTCCCAGATTTATGAGTGCAGTCATATGAAATACAGCGGTGCACAATCCATGTCTTTTGATGAGATGAAGCCATACTTCATACTGAAAAACCAGTATGCCAGTATATACAGTGACCCAAAGAGCCATTGACATTTTTCATG